AGCAATTAGAAAAGAGAAATAAATAAAAGGAATAAAGATAGGAAAGGAAGAAGTGAAACTGTCATTATTTGCTGATGATATGATACTTTACATAGAAGACCCAAAAAACTCAGTCCAAAGACTTCTAGACTTAATTGACAGATTCAGTAGAGCAGCTGGATATAAGGTCAACAGTCAAAAAACAATAGCCTTCTTATACACAAATAACAGACTCACTGAGAGAGAAATTAGGGAAATAATCCCTTTTACAATAACATCCAAAAAAATGAAATATCTAGAAATCAGTCTAACAAAGGAAGTAAAAGACCTCTACACTGAAAACTGTAGCACTCTGAAAAAGGAGATCAAGGAGGATATAGGAAAATGGAAAGATATCCCTTGTTCCTGGGTAGGAAGAACCAATATAGTGAAAATGGCCATATTTCCAAAACCAAATATAGATTTAATGCAATGCCAGTTGAAATTCCAACAATATACTGCACGGAACTAGAGAAAATAATCCAAAAATTCATTCGGAACCAGAAGAGACCTAGAATAGCAAAAGCAGTTCTAGGCAACAGAGACATGGCTGGTACCAAAAAAAAAAAAAAAAAGAATAAAAACAGAAAATGGAGTACCTAACACTGGGGACTGAATCCAGAGCCTCTGCACTGAGCCACATCCCCAGACCTTTTTCTTACATTTTGACGAAGGGTCTTGGTAAATCACTGAATTGCCCAGACTGGGCTCAAACTTCTGGTTCTCCTGTCTCAGCCTCCCACAGTGCTGAGATTACAGGTGTGTACCACCACACCTGGCTTCCTAGGGGCTTTTTATTTTTCTTATTATTTGAAACTTGTTCCTCTTCACTGTAATCCTAGCTGGCCTCCTGGAATAATGTGTGTGATATAAACAAAATCCCAGAATTACTAGCTACTGAAAATCTGCTTTTTTGTGTTTTGCTTTGTTTTGTTTTTTTGTTGTTGTTGTGTTTTTTTGGTACCAGGGATCATGCTTTTTGGGTTTTGTTTGTTTTTTCTTAAATTCTTTTATTGGTACATTTTAGGTATACAATACAATTACATTTATCATTGGGTGCTTGTACCTGTACATGATGTATCTTGGTTCTTATTTTTTTCGCCATTCCCTGTGCACCCTTCACCCCCTCCATCCCCTCCCCCTTCCCTATTTACGTAGACTTTGTTTCCATTTTTTTTCTTTTCTCATAATTTTTCCTTTCCCTCCTTTCCTTTCTCCTTCCTCTCCCACCACCCCTACCCCTTTGGACCTTTTCTTCCTATTTCAAATTATCAATTATTCATTTTAATCATTTTAATCATTTACACTTACAGTTTCTCACACCAGAGAAACTATTTGGTATTTACACATGTGTGTCCTATTTATTTCACTTATGAGTATGCCCTCAATATGCATCCATTTAGCTATAAATGTCTCTAGTTTCTTTCTTTATGGCTGAGTAGTACTCCATTTTATAAAAAAAAAAACACATCTTCTTTATCCAGTTTCCAGTTGATGGGCAAATGGGCTGTTTCCAAGCTTTAGCTATTCCAAACTGTGCCGCTATAAACATGGGTGCACATATATCGCTGTGGTATGATTCTTTTAATTCTTTGGGGAAGATACCCAGCAGGGGAATAGCTGGATCAAATGGGACC